CTCTCCTTCTTCCTCCTTCCTTTTTTTTCTCCTCCTCCTCCTCCTCCTTCTCCTCCTCCTCCTGCTTCTTCTTCTCCTCCTTCCTTCCTCATGGTCCCCCACCCCTCTTCTTTGTCTTCTTTTTCTTCAACAGATGTGTACAACTTTTGACAATTTTAGATTTATCTCTACCAAACTAATCTGAAAAAAAAAAATCTGTATCTCTAAATCATACCCAAAGGATCACCTGACCCTGCCCTAAATGTTGGGTTACTATGTTTTGCCTTAAAATTTTGGGTTACCACATTTCTAACAAAGCAGGCCAATTATTTCAATACAGACCCACCACTCAAAACCCAGGATAGCTGAAAAGAAAGGACCTTTTTTGCTTTTCTGTCTGGAAGAGTGTCTAAAGACTTGAGAAACTCTATAAGAGTGTCATATCATTAGTTTGCAAACATTTATTTGCCATAGGGAAATTGCTATTGTGTCGCTACTGCTGCTGATAGGGATTATTTTGCAGACTTTTAAGCTGTCTGCTGTCTTATGAGAAGGAAGTGTTTACTAATTTTTAATAACAGAAGATTGAAATCAGCAAATACTCTGATAGCTCTACCAAGTCTGATGCTGCCATTTTAGTCCAAGAACCTGCATACCAACAATCTAGGGGGAATGTCAGATAACTTATTGGTGAAAATAGTACGTTTGAGGTTTACAGCTTGAGCTGCTAGTAGGAGGGTGAAGGTAGTGAGGGTCACACAAAGAGAATATGTGGATGCCAGGTGTTAGCAATTTATTATATTTTTGTATTGTGTAATGTTTTTACATTTTAATGAGACAATAATATATTATCTCAAGATCTTATATTTGAATGTGATGGAAACACACTAATTCAGTCTGTGTGAAGACTGGCTACTTGAAATATTCAGTATCCATAGCCATATGTCTTTCAAATATCCTTACTGCATTTTTGAATTTTTGTTGCTTCTTTTGTTGGGTTTAATAACATTATGTGGGCAGCTATCTATTCCAAGCACAACAGTGGAAACAGAGCTGGAAAGTCACCTGAGGTTTGAACCCTGTCCTCATGAGCTCAGAGCCTAGAGGGGAAGAACTGAGCCAACAATACTAATATGGGATTCATGCAAGGATAAGAATATGGACAAATTCAGGCAGCAAGACAGGGAAAGAGTAGTTTTACCTCAGCAGGGAGACAGAGATTAGGTAAATTTTTGGAGAAAAAGACATACTTGGTAGTTTCAAAACATTGCTTCAACTTCATGACTGTGTCTTTTTCCTTCAACACCGTGTTTAGGAGTGGGCTTCTACCTCCCCCAAAACAGCTTAGTAAACATTCTAGTTATGAAAGGGCAAGTGTTGACAGAACATCCACCTTCAGTATATTTGTCTTTCTTGCTTTCTTTCTCTAACAAATCCTTTATTGGTACATTTTAGAGATACATAATGATAACACTTATCATAGGAAATTTGCACCAATACATGGTTAGGATGCTCTTTCTTTTTTTGTTTTGTTTTCCTTTTTGGTATCAGGGATTGAATTTGGGACCTTCTGCTTGTGAAACAGGAGGCAGAACCACTGAGCTACATCCCTAGCCCAGGATGCTCTTTTTTTTTTTTTTTTTAGGTACTGGGGATTGAACTTGGGCCCTTGTGCTTGCCAGGCAGGCAGTGAAACCACTGAGCTAAATCCCCGGCCCTGGATGATCTTTCTTGACAGAGGCACTTCACAAATATTTGTGAAACCAATGGTCCTAAATAAAGCTGCTTCAAGTTATGTTTTGTGACTTATCTAGTCAGAATATTGTCATTTACCTAGGAATTATTTTAATTATGAAAGTTATAAAAGTACATTATAGAAAATGTGGAAAAAGGAAGAAGTCCCCTATAGTCAAACAATCTACACAACTAATGTTATTGTGGTAGTTTATTCTTGTCTCCTTTCTGATACATATTTTGAATATATTATGAATTTTTGTTATGGCTTGTGTCTAAATATTTGGAGCCATCCAATTATGTACTGAAACCTTTCTAAATTGTAAGCTATAATAAACCTTTCCTCCTTTAACTTTGGGTGTCTGTTATTTTGTCTCTGCAATGACAGAAAAGTAACCAAAACAGAATTTTGGTACCAGGAGTGGGGTCATTGCTGTGACTATACCTGCCCATGCAGTTTAAGAACAAGATGCCACATAAAAAGTGGAGTTTGAATGCCTTTGGCTGTGCTTGATAGAAGATTCTGGTCTGAGCTCAGAAGACCAGAAAGCTGTTATAAATCCTTCTGGTAAAGACCAGCCTCAGGAGGTTTCTGCTGAGAAGAAAGACTGCACTTGATGTTGGACTCCAGGCAATGTGTAATATACCTTGGCCGAAAGTTTGTCTGCATTTATTTTGCTCCTGTCCAGAGACTTTGCCTCAGACTGAGATGAAGGGCAGTGGGCTAATTAATGATAGAAGAAATCAAGACACTTTAATGTTGAGGCAGTGGCATGGCTACTGTTGGAGTCTTTTAACAAGATTGATGTGGAGAATCAAAAGCAAAAAGCCCAGGAGAGTGATGCAAAACATTGAGAGTTTGGCTGGAAAGGAAGCTACAGTAAAATTGTGACCTGCAAAGATGAAACAGAGGAGAAATTGGACACTGAAAAGACTAGCAAGAAAAAGCAAAGGCTGGGTGTGGTGTGCACACCTTTTATCCCAGCACTCAAAACACAGAGGTAGGAGGATCAACACGAGTTTGAGGCTAGCCTGGGCTACATAGTGAGTTCAAGGTCAGCCTGAACAAAGTGAGATCCTGTCTTAAACAAAGAAAAGAAATGTATTTCAGGAGAAGGCAACAGAAAAGATAGCCTGAGGACATCACAAGAACCAACAAGAATCCAACCTTTGCACCTCAGAGTTGCAAAGGTGAAAGACTTCTTTGAAAAGAGAGCCCCAGAGCACTATGTTCCAGAATGGTGGTGGACTAGGAAATTGTCTCTTGGGATTTGGTTCATAGGCACTCAACTCCTACAGTCAAGAGAGAAGGAAGCCTGGCTACTGCTCCAGCTGGCAGCAGACCTTGGCATCATGGATGTGATGTTGTTTTTAAGTGCATGTAGGATGTAAGAGTTGTAGGATCAGGAGGGCTTCTACCCAGATTTCAGAAGACCCAGGAGTAAGGCCAGGCAGTGTGCTACTGACTGAGAGGGCAGTGTGTGAAGCAGTGAGTGTGAAGACAAAGCTGCTGTGGACACCCTAGAAGGTGGGAGAAGCCAGCAACATGGATCATCTGAGGAAAGCTGCAAGGAGGGAGTAAAACTGGCCCAAGAAAGAAGTCAGGGAGTTGCAACTATCTGCGGTGCTGTAGGGGTGCAGCCACCCATGTCCTTTGCAGTTCACATCCTACCACAGATTGTCTCAGATTCTGGACATGGAACTACAGGACTTAATGTTTGCCCTTCTGGATTTTAAACTTGTTTTGATCCTGCCCTTTCTATCCTCCTATGTGTACCTTTTGGAATAGTAGTATTTATCTTGTGCCATTGTATCTTTTCATTTGTACAAGAGCTCACAGCTGAGAGTTTGCCTTAAATCTCAGGGGAGACTTCAGACTTGGACTTTTCAGCAATGCTGGAACTGTTAGGACATTGACAACTCTTGGAGATGGACTAAATGCTTTTTGCAGAAGGGTATGTACATTAGTCTTGGGGATAGGGCCAGAATGTTATGGCTTGTAGCAAAACATCCCCCTAATGCCTCATGCAGTCATAGGTGGGGCTTTTTCAGAGGTGACTGAATCTAGAATGCATGATTGATTCATGGTATTAACAGGATTAACAGTGCTAGAATTAAGGATGGGTGATTACTAAATCAGTCTACTAGTTGATTTTACGCTGCTCTACTCTTGGTAAACTAGATACAATATAAAAGGAGCTGAAAAAAGCTGCTAAAGTCCCTCACTTTCTTGGGTACTTCTGCCCACCATGAACCATTTATCCTCTGTGACACCTGTCCATTGTGACACACTGCCTTGGAACCAGCCAATTATAAACTGAAACCTTTACAAACTGTGAGCAAAATAAACCTTTTCTCCTTTAACTTTAGATGTCAGATATTTTGTCTTAGTTATGTGTACCATAACTAGGAAAATTATACATATAAGGTAGCATATATTGTATATGTACAATTCAAACACCATTGTTGAATGACTTGGCATTGCCTCTCAGCTCTGAAATATATTTGTTTTCTTTCCTTAATATTTTTTTTTCTTTTGAGACAATGTGCTCTGTTGCCCAGGCTGACCTCTAAACCATGTCTAGGGATCTTTCTGCCTTGACGTGGAGAATGTTGTAGGACTCCAGGTGCTGGGCCTGGCTGTTTCTTGCTGTTTCACTAAGTTCCGTTGCTTCTTTCTTATTTTTGTCATGCCTATTAAAAGTAAAATCATGTAAAGTAGTTTTTGCTTTCTTACAGCCACACAGCTGCGCCCAAGCTTGTCTAGCAACTGCCCGGCCAAGTGCTCACAATGCTGGGCCCTGAGGGAGGTGAAGGCTATGTGGTCAAGCTCCGTGGGCTGCCCTGGTCCTGCTCAATTGAGGACGTGCAGAACTTTCTCTCCGACTGCACAATTCGTGATGGGGTGGCAGGTGTCCATTTCATTTACACTAGAGAAGGCAGGCAGAGTGGTGAGGCTTTTGTTGAACTCGAGTCCGAAGATGATGTCAAAATGGCCCTGAAAAAAGACAGGGAAAGCATGGGGCACCGGTACATCGAGGTGTTCAAGTCTCACAGAACCGTGATGGATTGGGTGTTGAAGCACAGAGGTCCCAACAGCGCCAACACCGCCAACGACGGCTTTGTGCGGCTCCGGGGTCTCCCATTTGGATGCACAAAGGAAGAGATCGTGCAGTTTTTCTCAGGGTTGGAGATCGTGCCAAACGGGATCACACTGCCTGTGGACCCCAAGGGCAAGATCACAGGTGAGGCCTTTGTGCAGTTCGCCTCGCAGGAGCTGGCTGAGAAGGCACTCGGGAAGCACAAGGAGAGGATCAGGCACAGGTACATCGAAGTGTTCAAGAGCAGCCAAGAGGAGGTGAGGTCATACTCAGACCCACCCCTGAAGTTCATGTCTGTGCAACGGCCCGGGCCCTATGACCGTCCCGGCACTGCACGGAGGTATATTGGCATCGTGAAGCAGGCAGGCCTGGAGAGGATGCGCTCCGGGGCTTATAGTGCTGGCTATGGGGGCTATGAGGAGTATAGCGGCCTCAGCGATGGCTACGGCTTCACCACCGACCTATTTGGGAGAGACCTCAGCTACTGTCTCTCCGGCATGTACGACCACAGATATGGAGATGGTGAGTTCACAGTACAGAGTACCACCGGCCACTGTGTCCACATGCGGGGCCTACCCTACAAAGCCACCGAGAACGACATCTACAATTTCTTCTCACCACTCAACCCTGTGAGAGTGCACATTGAGATTGGGCCTGATGGCAGAGTGACGGGTGAGGCCGATGTGGAGTTCGCTACCCATGAGGAAGCTGTGGCAGCCATGTCTAAGGACAGGGCCAACATGCAGCACCG